ATTTTTGAAGTATTATGTTGATCAATAATACAATACTTGCTTCTTGAAACTAGCATTTGATGATTAGACTTTTATTTGTAAATTTTTTAGGATTGCATAAGTCAATGTTACATGCCTTAAACGCAAGCAACAAGTATGGTAGGACAAGATTATTTGTTGTTTATCTTTGAAATATTTTGTAGAACTGTGTTTGATGTTTATCAGTTTGGATTTTTATTTTTTATTTTTTAAATTTAGATGACCAACTTGGTGGTCAAATGTGTGATATTCTGTGGAAATATAAGAGTAGTTGTAGAGAAATGACCCTTCGCCACTTATTTGACAGGAACCATTTCTGGGGATTTTTTCCCTTATGCACCCATTGCAACACTCTTTTTTTTTTGGCTAGACAAGTTTACATTTACTAACCGAGACTTCCTATGTACAGGTATTATACTAATTATGGTCTTCTATTTAACTGTGGATACAAAAAGTTGTAGTAGCCTTAACTTGAAAAGGTTAATAGTTTAGTGTTTGCTTCATTTTACTACTTGGATTGTCTCTCTCTCTCTCTCTCTCCATACATGAGAATATAAAAACATCTTTATCTAGCTATCTGTTTGTTCGTCTCATGAGCCTGTATTTGTTTATTTGTTTTGGATTCTGGTTGCAAGATGTGAGGATACATTCATTATTGATTTGAGGCACTGTTTTCTTGGTTTATGATTTCTTTTGCTCCTCTGTTTGAGGAGCAAAAGATATGGCTGTAAAAGTGCTTCAAAATGTGTTCAACCTAGATTTTTTTTCCGTTCGAGTGGATCGCAATTGAACTTTAATTGAACCATAATGAGCTGAGCTCAAATAGTTTGGTGTTATTATTATTATTATTATTATTATTATTATTATTATGCATTTAATCTTATTGAGCCAAGTAGTATCTTGTTCAAGCTTGACTTGAAAAATTAACGAGCTGAACATGAGTTGAGCTCAAGTAGTTTAGTTTCTTTTACAATGAGAGAGAGAGAGAGAGGGTGGGTGGGAATTTGGTCGATGGTGGCAGAACGGTGAAGATTAACTAAATCACCAATGTTTGACTGGATTGTACCAGTGAGATTGTTAAGGATGAGGCTGAGTTCTAACAAAGTAGTGCAGTTGTATATGCCAGGTATGCTTCCATTCAAGAGAGTATTCCCAAAGTCTATATACTGCAAATTCCTAAGGTTTCCTAGTTCTAGTGGAATTAGACTGGAAAGAGAATTATCACAAACAGTTGGCTCTAAAGGATTAAGATATGTTTGTTAATTGAATGATAGAATAGGTTCCCAAAACTTGAATTCTTTTATTTTGAAAGTAGTTCTAGAATTTGAATTGGTACTGATGATTAATTCTTCTGTTAGGAGCGAAACTCTTGCAGAATTTATATGCTATGAATTTTCAGTGGAAACACTAATAATTGTTTTCACTTGCAAGACAGATATGAATCAGTTCACAAAAAATATTTTATAAGAAAAATGATATATTTTTAGTGCATATTCATTTTTGGACTTGTATGACAATTGGTTATATTAGTTATGAGTTATAGTAAGGACCATATTTATATAAATGGATAATGGTCTTAATCTAGGCACTAGGAAACGATGTTGGGGATGATGAAGGCTTTTCTAGAAGTGAATTTCAGAGCTATATCCTGCAATAGTTGGGCCCTTTTGGTGTCAAGCATTTTACGACTTAAAAGGTTAGTAATATTTATGTATTTCTTCTCTGAAGTTACTGCATACTGATTTGTGATATTATGTTGATTTCTTCCCTGAAGTTACTGCATACTGATTTGTGATATTATGTTTGATTTCGTCCCTAAAGTTACTGCATACTGATTTGTGATATTATGTTTGATTTCGTCCCTAAAGTTACTGCATACTGATTTGTTATATTTATGTTGATTTCTTTTCTAAAGTTTCTACGTATCAATTTGTGATATGTATGTTGTGTACTTCTCTCAAGTTGCTGCATACCATATTTTGATCTTGCCGCACATTCTAGTAGTTCACTTTCTGAAATTGAACTTTAACGTGTTTACATCTGTTTTCTTTTTTTTTTTTTTTTTTTTGATGGACCTACCTATTGGAAATTGAACTTTCATGTGCTTTGCTGACATAATTTGGTAAGGTGGTAAATACATAAATATTTTGTTATTTGGGATGATCTAAATGAATATATTTTTTGACTTTTTACAAAAAAATATATAGAAAAATATAGAAGTGATATGACCCAAATAAGTACACTTATCTAAATAAGTGCAATTATATTCATCATGCCAAGCCAATGGAGAGATATGGAGTAATATGCTGTTTTTGTTTTGGGCTTGTTGCTTTTCACTTTTCTACTTTGCTGACATAATTTATGCTATAGTTATAAATAAATGTAACAAGTCTTCCGCTTCATACACAAAACAAAAATCCTATGTACATCTCTGTTTCATATATCCAGAATTCTATAGTTATAGCTAGTAGTATATTGGCTTCATATACACTTTGGCTTTTCAGTTTGCCTTTTGAAAATTTGGATACTTCGGCCTTGTTTGGTTTGGTTTTGAGAAACAAATTTTAAATTTTTCAAAATTTTGTTTGGTTTAGTGATTTTGGAAAAAAAAATTCCAAAATCACTTTCTATCTCTTACACATCAATTAATCACTTTTTCTCTTTCTTCTCTCCTTCTCAATCACTTTTTCTCTTACACACATCTACTCAACTATAACAAAATATCAAATTATCCTAAACTCTCATACTCTCAAACTATTTTTAAAATATACAATCAAACAAATCAAAAAAATTTCTAAACTCTTTTTCTAAAAATATTTTTAAAAATTTATCTCCTAAAATCAAACCAAACAAGGCCTTTTTTCTTGTTTTTTCTACTGCAATCTCAAATGAAATCAAATTTGTGGATCCTGACATTTTTTTAATGTTATGACTGATATGCTGTGTTATTGTGCTTTAGGATGATGAGTGACTATGCTGTGCAGCCAATAAATGATGGGATTAGTGAATTCAATGTGGAATTCCATGGTCCAAAAGAAAGTAATGTTTCTAGTCTTTCCATGCTGTAGTCTTATTTAAATATGACCCTTAACAATTGTTCCCACAGGTTTTTTACGAATTCAAAATTTGAATGGTTATTAGGTTGAGTTAGATAACAATGGCCTTTGGCTGTATTTCGACTCAACAAACCTTAATGACAATATAATTTGTTTTCGTAGGTGTTGCTGAGAGAATAGTTGATATGATGGCGCAAGTAATATTGGAAGCTAAATTGAGATTGTTTTTTTATTTTTTATTTTTTTTGAGGACTTGAATTTGTTAGTACTTTGTATAAATATATTTAAGGATGGTTGATAGATATTTGTTTTGCATGTATGGAAGTTTATATTTTGTATGCAAATTTTTTTTTTTTTTTCTGAAGAAAAAGAATATTATTAAGGGAAGAGATGAAAAATAATGCATGAATGTTAGAATTTTTACAAACAACTCTTTACATTTATTGTATATTATGTATGTGAACATAGGTTGATAAAACATTGTAGGCATTTATTTTTATTATTATTGTTTTTATTATTATTTTTTTTTGTACTATGGTAACAAGATGGTCGCTAAAACATTATAGTTTTTTTTTTTTGTTTTTTTTTGCGACGGCAAAACATTCATGAGTAGGTTAGGTTATCGCAAATAATTTGTGACTACTGTTTTGTGGTTGCAAAAGTATTTTTCACCCCACATTTGCATTCCTTATTTGCCGTTACATGATCGTCGCAAAAGATTTTTTGTGACTGCATTTTTGTTATTTGTGCAGCATCCAGCAGTCACAAAAAATGATTTTTTTTAGTTAACAGAAAACTGAAAACGTAAGTGTTACCAAACGGCACCTTAGTAGTTGTATTGTAGACTTCTAGTTTATGCATGATGATGAGTCCTTTAAAGTTAGAGCTTGTTAGCAGGCCAAATTTGAGTCTTCAAGTTACTTTTTGCTACCAACAATCCTAAGTTAACAACCAATTAATTGAATATTTAAAAATTCAAACAGATTTAATTTGGGTAAGTTTATGAAGGTACTTCTTTCTCGAACTATTTTTATCTATACATGTTTCATCACCCAAAAACACTACTAGCTTCTACATATAATTTTAAAAATGGCATAACTATACATGGTGGATAATGAAAAGAGTTTTGTTTGAACATGGGAATAATGATGCATAGGTGGCAATCTACGACAGCCACATAGGCATTGCTTCTTGCTTGAGGTGGGCACCTCGTAGGGTCATGTTTGTTAATGCATCCTTAGTTTTCACGTTTTGTATACGTAATAATCCAAAATCAGCTGTTGAATTTGAAACCGGCAACCCTTAGATCCTAAGACAATCTAAACATATTTCTCATTGAGTGCACAATAAAGTCTATTTACTTCGCAATAAAACCCTCAACAATGTTGCTATACACTAGAGAGAGATCAGCTTGTCTTGCAACTTGTGTTTTGATAAGAATTCAAAAGGGGGAACCATTTCTTTGGTTTGTTCACAGCTACGTAAAAATTCGTAGTCTCATTACTTGTCATAGGTTATTGTTTATGTGTTTTATTTGTAGTTAGAGATTTTGGTGAACATTGTGTGTTGAT